ATTATTTTGGACCTCACAAATTATTTTAGCACTGGAAGAGTTCTTTAAATGAGAACTTATTTTTAGATGTCTCTGTTTGCGGTTACTTCTAAATAACCCTGTAGATAAAATCAAAACAAAATAATTTCCTGTTTATAGCAAATTCCAAAAGACCAAAATAAAGCGAGGCCACAGGAAGACAATTTTGGTTCTCCATCAACATATTTTAAGCTCCACTTTAAAAATTGTGTATCGAATTGTCTGTAATCTTTGGTTTCCTGTGTCTTCACCTATCTCCTGGAGGATTGTAGCCTGGATGTCTGGAAACTTGATCAGGTATAAAAGGCTCCACTGCAAACCGGAGATGATAGTGTCAAAACCTACAAGGAAAAAAAGAGCAGGAAAACAGCCTCAAGACACAAGTCACAATTAGCATATTTGGGCAACCAAATCAACTGAAGATGTGTTGTGGGCTGTTCTCAGGCTAAAAGAATGAAACTTAGTGCTTTGAGCTCCTCATGGGGGTTTGTTAAATACGGTTTAATGAACTAGAACAACCAAGATGCATGAACTGAAACAGAAATGAACAGCAGAAGCCAAGAGCAGAGATGAAAAACATACATCTAAAGCAATTTCTCAGAAAAAGTCCAGGTCTTATTCTAGATCAGTCTGACGTGCCTCCCCTGAGACAACGAACGAAGAGCCAGGAAAAACATCTGGTTCTGGATGTAAATTGTACTGTTCTATGTATTTCTAAAAGCACAATGCTGTTCACAATCGCACATTCATTCTCTCGACTCCTGGTCTCTCACCAGCTCCGAAGATGTCAATAACACTGTGGACGATCTGTGAGTTGCTGAGCATGGCCGTTTCCTCGTCCTCCTGTCTGTCCTCACTCATTGCTATAAGGGCATCAGTGATGTCCCGAATACAGTTCTGTGCAAAAACACAGAGAATCAGGTTTGCAAAATGTTTCAAATGTGGGAAAATAAACAGTGAATTTACTCTCTCTATGACATTTACATCCATCTTGTTCCTGGCCATGTATGCATGCGGGTGCCTTCTCCACACATGCATACATTGTTTACACCAAATTCAACTGTGCATGTGAATATTTTAGTTTGTATAGAAACAACAGAAACAAAGCATCACTTCACAGGCAGTCTGAAAGAGAAATCTCATGATATTTTGGAGTATATTGAGTACATATATAACACAATGTATAAAAAATATAATTATACACATACTGTTCAAAGTTTGAGGCCAGTAGGATTTTGTTTTTTGAAAGAAATGAATACTCCTATTCTTTTATTCAGCAATGATGAATTAAATTGATAAAAATGTGACTGTAAAGACAGTTATTTTCTAAATTGCTTAGAATATGAAATGTTACTTTAGCACCAAATCAGCATATTAGGATGATTTATGAGGGATCATGTGACACTGAAGACTAGAATAATGCTGAAAATTCAGCTTTGCCATCATGGGATTTATATATATATATATATATATTAAAAAAAAGTTTTTTATGCAATTTTTCACAATGTTACAGTTTTATTGACTTTACTGTATTGTATTTTGATTAATTAACAGCCTTAGTGAGCATAAGAGTCTTCCAAAAACACACAAAAAAATATGACGACCCCAAACTTTATATATGCATATGCAAGCATGCTGGCAGATTTTCTTTCAAATGAAGCATGTATAAATGTATGGAGTATATAACCTCTGTCCATTCACTCCTCTGATCTCATGAGAAGAGATGTAATCTGTTGCTTCTGACACTCATCTCTGGGATAAAATAATCATCTTTTTATTTCGACGGTATTACCCTATCAAAGGTGATGAGATGTTCCCTGATGTTGCACTCCATGAAGCTGTTCATTCTGCCAATGTGCTGGACCATCTTCCGCAGAGACGGACTGGGCAGGTAACGGAAGATAGGAAAAAAGTCTGCCAGATTCCCTGCAGCAAAGAGGCGCAGCACTTCATTATTGATTTGGACGATGGTAAGGAACTCTTTATCGTTATGGGCATACCGCTTGCCAAAACACAGAGTGCAAACCACATTGGCAACTGAGGTCACTAGCAACTTAACCGGGTCAAACCCTGAATCTCCAACCTTATCTCCTTGTTCCTTCAGAGCCTTCACCATCTCCATGGCCTCTGTGCAGATATGTTCCTCCAAAAGACACGAGGCACTTGAGTCTCTGGGCTCAGCTTGGGAGAATGTCCTCAAGGCATTTCTGCAGATCTTTTTGTGAAGCACCCAAGCTTCACCATACTTCTCACTAAATGTCATACTGGTGCCATTAGCAACTGCAGAGAATGTAAAAAGGTCAGGGCGTCCAGCAAATGCCTCTCCTTTCCGTACCAGAGCCTCCTTGATTGTAGAATAGCCGCTCAAAACAACTACCACAAGAGAACCCATTTGCACCTGGAACACATCTCCATACTGAACCCTCAGGTTTGTTAATGACAAATGGATTTGTTCCCCCATCTGGAAAAGGTTGCCCACTAACGGCCAAGGTTTGGGACCTGGAGGAAAAGAGCAGCCTGGTCCTCTCCGTCGACCATGGAGAGCCAGCAAGAGCAGAGCGAAGGCACAGAGGAACAGAGTCAATCCAGATGTAACGTTAGTCGTTCGGGAAATCTCCTCGAGATACATGACATACACTGCAAAAAAGGAGAAAATGACTGTGATATTTTTTAAAAATAGGCTTTTGACGCATAAAGCAACACTATTCTATTTTAACTTTAGGGAAATTAAAACTTATTGTATGAATATTACTTTCAAATAAAACGGCATCCTGATCATAGAAGCGAAAAACTGGCAGGAGGACACCGAAAAGGACAAATAGGTAAACTAAATCAAGTAACCCTAATTTGCATGATCTTACCTTTGAAACCGCTCCCGCGTTTGCAATCAAACACTTCCAAAGTTTCACCAGCTGAAAATGGCTGCACGAGAATGACTGCACAAAAACACAGACTGATTCTCAGAAGCAGAGAACACTGGAGGGCCGTTGAGATCGATGCACAAGCATGAATGAAAGCCAGTGAGATTAAAAAAAAAAAAAAAGCTGATGAACGGAAGAAATGTTCAGACCACCCTGATGATCATCACGTCACCTTTTTTTTCTTTTCTTGTCTTTTCTATTTTCTTCTGGAGCATTTCACCTAGTTTAAAGCCTGAAGTCCATACAGTACACATATAATTATGAAAAAATAAATAAAAAAAATACTATTGAAGAGATGGCAGCACTTCAAGAAGCAAGCAACATTTTCTATGTTTTTATTTACACACACACACACATATATATATATATATATATATATATATATATATATGCAAGAATTTCATAGTTTGTATGTAAAATAGGCTACAGTGTGTTCAAAAGCCTGTTACTGAAATTAAATCACATGTCCAGTAATGCTGAATGAAATTTCTTATATTAAAAAAAATCTATATCACAATACCGATACATTTTTAAAACTTTTTCATATGCAGAATATACAGTTCTTGAAATGCTTGAAGTGAACTGGAAATATCTCAGATGTTGACACTATGTGGAGTGATGAGGAAGATGGAGATGTAAGAAAAATATCCGTATTTAAAACTTTATTAAGTAAAATAGCTAGCTTCCGGCCAAACGTAGCCTACATATAAATATAAGCACATCTTGAATATATATTTTTCTTCCACAACAAGCGTAGGCCTATCGCTTCGCTCCAGAAGGCCTTTATTAATAATAACCTCACAGGGCCTTGTGGAGCACTTGATGGATTGATGCACTTTTATGATGGATATATGCACTTTTTATGGACTTTCAAAAGTCAAAACAGAAACAACCATTCACTGCGATAAAGCTTGGAAGATCCAGGACATTTTTTAATATGACTCCAATTTTATTCGCCTGAAAGAAGAATTTCATATAGCTACACCGACGGCTTGAGGGGTTTGGTCTCAAAGCTGGGAAAATGTATTTTTATATTTTTTCAGAAACTTGAAACATTATTCAGGTCTGAAGGAGTTAAAAATATAAAAAGTGCGTGTTTCCACACGATGGCAGTGTTTTCAAACCCTGAAAGCTTACAGCCTTCTACATATCGAGGGGAAGACAACAAACTGTTAATGAAATAAAACCGGCAGCTGTGCATGACTGTTTGCGTCGATGGTTTCTGTCTTTCTGTATGCATTTTAACGAGAGTTTTAACATTAGATTTGTAAATAATAATAAAAAAAAAAACTAAAAAAATTGGTAGACATTGCTTGCCGTAAAAAAAAAAAAAAATTCCTTGAAGAAAAAACTCTCATAGGCCTACTTATTTGTTGTCAGTAGTGGACCAGTGGAATTGTGCAATTGTCATAGACGAAACTACTGTAATTAAAGTAGCCTTCTGTTCTACTTAATTATTTAATATGTGGTGGGAACATATATTATGAAACAAGGAAATAATGACTGGATTCTGGGTGGCTATTGAACACACTGGATTCCCAATACTTATCACTGCACATATAATTTGATTTGACTTAGTAAAAATATTTAATAATAATAATACATTTAAGAAAACAAATCTAATTCGAGATTATCTATTTTATATTGCTGTAACAGTGTTGCATTTGTTCTGTGAAAGTTTGATTAAAAAGGTTCAATAAAAGTTTAAATAGATTTTTTTCGGGTTTTCTCTTGATATCTGCAAAATATTAAATATATACTATTTTTTTTATTTGTTTTATTTTATTTATTTATCTTTTATAAAATATATTAAGTAATTTTGACAACTATCCAAGCAAAGGTACAAAAAGAAGGCTCATAAGAAAGAGAATCCAAATCATGAAAACATGTTTATTTCATAGAATCCTGATCTGTTTGTTATAATAATGGAAATTATTTGATGAATGAACCACCACAGACATGTATATCCATAAACCTTTTATTGCACATTTTACACAAAAAATATTTACAACATCATCACCTTCTCACTGCTGGCAAATTTGATTTATAAAAAAAAAAAAAATCAAATTTTTTTTATTTAATTGAGCTTTACCTCCTCACTGTAATAATATTACAATTCGACTGGGATCCATATCTAATAAATGACTCGAGTGTGTGACTATATACATTCTTAAAGCCTTATCTTCGTGGTGGTGGTCCACCTCTCCCTCTTCCCATCCCCTGGCCTGGTGGAGGTCCACGGCCATTACCTGGGAGAGGCCCAGCCGGCCTGGGACCTGGAGGGCGAGTCACTGGTGCCCGAGGATTTGCCGCAGCCAAAGACACATCTCTCTGAACATGTACCCCTTTCCCGGTGGCTGCAGCGCCTGGTTTGCCTGTCACTTTTGGTGACTTGCTAAGCTGGTCAGTTGGTTTCTCTGTAATAAAAAATGGCAAGTATGTAACAGAAACAGATACTCCATTGTGAATGAAGACTGTTCCACACACAAGTTTGAAGATCACAAGAGTTTGGAAGTATCTTCTATGTGAACACCAGTAGGGGAAACACGGCAAAAGAAACATGCCATAACTAGTTCAACGAATTGTAGCACACTGACCAGCCTCTTGAGCAGATGGAGGGGGAATCAGAGACTTGTTGGGCATAAGATCCTCCAGGTCTTTCATCACCTGGTTGGTGCTGTCCTTGTTGTTCCTCCTGTTCTTCTCCTCATCTCTTTGCTAAATGATGGAGCAGAAAATATAAACCAATAGCTGACAATGCTGATCATGTCAGACAACTTGACCATCATTCACACAAAAAAAAGTTTACCAACCAATTGCATTTTGCGTTTTAATTCCATGTTAGCATTCTGATATGCTTTGGACACAGCATTCAGGTAATAAATAGCCAACCTGTCAGAGGCAAGACAGACAGATCGTTTTATTAAATGCAAATACATCATATAACATTTACCTTTATACTTGACATTAGGTGACTACTCACACCATGAGCAGGACTGCAGAAATTATAAGGCCTGGGTTGGATGCATAACTGAAGATGTCTGCCATAAATGGTGGCAAGTCCTTCTCTATAGTCTCCGTGATCACATCGTACATCTTATCTTTACCACTGTGGAGAGACGTGGATCTTGTATTGCTCAGGACAATTATGATTCAACACAGAAAATTTTAAACTTCAATATACTTCAAAATATCCAGCAAATAACACACATTTATGTTTATTTAATCACTGTTTATAACCTCTTAGCTAAGTAAGTTGCATCCAGCCAAGTACTTTATAAGATTTCCTGTAATAATTTGTCTTTAATCATGGAAGCTCATTTCCCCCAAATTAAGAAAAATATCATGCATAATTGAGATTATAAAAGACATATTAAGTAATTTTGAGATGACATTTTTATGATTTTGTACATTCGGTACTCTATAAATAAAAAGCCAAAATTATTATACAAAAAGTCAAAATGATGACATACTTTGTGCGTATAGGCCTACAGCTTTAATCGGACTTATTAATCAGGTTTATTGGCATCATTTACAGACTTTCAGCTGTTTACAATGAACAAATAAAAAATAATAATTGAAATAGCTCAACACAACAAATGTTTTAAGTGGTTTCCCCAAATTCAACTGAAATTGCAACAACTGAGACTTTTGCAGTCTCAAAATTATTCAAACTCCTGAATTGAAGCTGCGTTCCAGGCAGGTTTTTGAGCACGTAAATCACGACTTCAAACCACGACTTACGACTTTGTAGCATTCCAGATCATTCACGCCAAACTACCTAGATGTAAACAAACCAGCATGGCGTACTTTACGGGGCTCACGTGCATTTGTAATAATTGCTAACGCCAAAGGTGCTTACTCCTTGTTTATTTGTGGGAAAACTGAGGAGGAAAAATAGCGCATGAGGCAAGATAAGCTGTTATACCTTTTATTTTACTTTATAATTATTATTATTTGTATATTTGGAAATGTATTTGGTATTAATTTATCCTTGCACTCAATGGACTGAAAACTAGTTAACGTTATGTTGTCCTAAAGTGTCCTCACTGTGTACCGCCTGCAGAAAAACTGCATCCGTAGGGGCTGTCATTGTAGTTTTGTATTGGTTCACGGGCTATGTGACGTCAGAACTCGTAACTGGGAGTACATCGATCTAGTACGAGTTTACGGGGGGGAAGTCACGGGTTTGACTGCCGTTCCAGTGCACTTTCACGGGTATAAGGTTGGAAAAACACGAGTTACAGGTTGCCTGGAACGCGGCATGAATCCCTCACAACAGCACAAATCTGCAAAAAAGGTGTTGTCTCAGATGGTTAGCACACCTGAACTAACTAATCAAGGGCTTGAGCTAGAACAAATGAAATATCTGAAATGGCTAGGTTTGTTGAGTGTCACATTTGACTGCATATTAGAAATATGGCTAAATCAAAAGAATGGTGCAAAAAGTTAAGTGAAGTTATCATTGCCTTTCACAAACAAGGAACATGATACAAAAAGATAGCGAAGGCACTAAATGTTCCTAGAGACACTGACGTACAGGGTTCGGTGCAGAAGAAGTCCTGGAAGATTCTACAATGGTCATCACAGTCACTTGACTTGAACCCCATAGAAAATCTCTTGTGGGATTTGAAGGCGACTGTTGCAGCACACACACCCAAGAATATTTCTGAACTGGAGGCCATTGCTCATGAGGAATGGACTAAGATTCCTCAGAAACGCTGCCAGAAGCAGGTGTCTGGTTATACATCTTGTTTGCAGCAGGTCATACCAGCAAAAAGGTGTTCTACTAAGTACTAAAGATGCTTGCCATGAAGGGGTTGAATAATTTTGCAACTGCAGAAGTCATTAAATGTTGCATTTTCAGTTGAATTGGGGGAAACATTTGTTGTGTTAAGCTATTTCAATGTTATTTATTTAAAATGTTTCAAGGCAAAAGGCTGAAAGTCTTATCTTTTAATAACGTAGTATGTCATGTCATAATCATGATTTACCAAAGCATGATTTCTTTTGCTCATGTGGCGTAAATGGACTTCCATACTTAGTACATGAATAGGGAAAGCAAATCTATTCCTACAGAAAACAAAACTTTTTCCCATTTTGACCAAAGTGAGTCTTTTCAAAGATTAGTATATACACCTTGATAAGGTTAAAAAGCTACCTGAAGGGTCCACAGTCAAAAGACGGTGGCAGGGTCATAATGGTGTAGATCACAGGCATGAGACTGAGGAAGAGTACGAGGAGGAGCAATCCCATGTAGAAGTTATTAGAACGTGAGGCTTTGAACACTCTCTCATGGGGAACGTTACAGGCCATCACTGCCCAGCACTGGTAATACATGGAGCTCAGCAGACGCAACACGTTTACTCCCACCAGCCCAGGAGCGTAAAATGCGCCCATCCTAAAATACACACATTATGTGATTGCGAAATCATCACACTGTCCATCACAGAGATGCTGTGTTTTCACTCGCATGAACTTACCAGATCATTCCCTGGTTGAAGATGAGCCCAAGTACATTACCACTGATGTCAAACTCTCCATAAGATGGCTGCAGAAACACAAACACACACACATGCATAAATATCTGTATGCATGACAACACAGATAGAAATGTCACAGTAAAAGATACCTCTCGCTTGCTCTCTCTCTCTCTCTGTAATTAAGTGCCCTGAATGGTGTAGTGTGTCTCTCTGTGACTCTGGTTGTAAAGCAGCCCTATCACCTATCCTGCCACCTTCTTATGGTGTTCAGTTGACCTCGGATGAATGAGTAGTATGTTACCTATATCGAGTGACAGGAAAATGAGGGCGACAGGGCAAAGCCATATGGAGCAGTCATTTCTTAGCACAAAAAACTTTTGATGAGAATTTACTTAACCTGACATAATCATTGTCAGTCAGGTTTCTAACAGCTGCCCTCTTTTTGATGGGAACGTCCCATCATCACTAAATTACTAGGAACTAAACTTAACTAAAATGTGCATCCGACAGAGGTCAACCAATTGATACTGTTAAAGCTTGTTTACACAGTGTTACGTGAGTAACTTGAATAACAGCAGGGTGTGAGGTTGGACTTACAAACCCAGCTTCAAGATCCCAACACCAGCAATAGTTGAGGAATCTGACAATCACGGCTCGCAGGAAGTCCCCTATCAGAATGGTCAGATATGTCACCTGGATGTCGGATACGGTGAGCTTCACAAACTCCTGTAAGGAAATAAAACAGTACATTTTAACCATATAAAGCCTACTGTATTATGTTTTGATACATGAATTTCAAATCAAATCAAACCATTGCATAAAAACCTGTTGCACACAATCTACTGCATGCCTTCGGCACAAGTGTGAAAGATCACACTTTTTTAGCAAGTTAATGGCCTTTTAGTATAATTCTAAAATTATTTTTATTAAGTAAATGTAAAACTTGTATTGTCAGTAATGTTCCAAGACGAACATTTACTAGACTGAAGCAACTTAAGTTCTTGTTCCACTTGTGCGTTTGCGCACAAAAGTAACACACAAATCTGATTTCAGACAGACTTCTGAGGCAGCGTAATGGTTAAATGATCTAAGCCAAGGCATAATAGAGGGACCATTGGTAAAAACTAAGTGAATATTTTATATCAATAGTAATTTCTCATTAGAAATGACATCAAAAGTGGCCAATCCCAGTATAGTAATGTAATGCCCCAGTATAGTAATGGGGATTCTATACTGACAACGAGCACCGTCCTTCGGATGAGACGTTAAACCGAGGTCCTGACTCTGTGGTCATTAAAAATCCCAGGATGTCTTTCGAAAGAGTAGGGGTGTAACCCCGGCATCCTGGCCAAATTTGCCCAGTGGCCTCTATCCATCATGGCCTCCTAATCATCCCCATACATACCAATTGGCTTCATCACTGTCTCCTCTCCACCAGTAAGCTGGTGTGTGGGGATGAGCGTTCTGGCGCAATATGGCTGCCGTCGCATTATCCAGGTGAATGCTGCACACTGGTGGTGGTTGAGGAGATTCCCCTCTCTATGTAAAGCGCTTTGAGTGCCGAGAAAAGCGCTATACAAAATGTAATGAATTATTAATCGTCGGCCAAAAATTTACATTCACACATAAACTGACCAGCAACCGCAACTTTCAGGTGGGATTTTTATTTCTTAGCTCAACTGTCACAGAATGAAAAGCACAGGATTGTGGGATATTAAAGGCAGATGAAGTTATGTCAGGGCAATACCCCTTCCATACATTGGACAATTGGACCATCTCACCCTGTTCCTCACACCTCGATACTCACCACTCAATTCAACGCGTGAGGACAATAAAAGTCTGGCCAGAGGGGACAGACGCTGTGCTCCAGGACCAGTTCAAAAACACAGACTGGAATATGTTCATCCACAAAGTTTTGGACCAGTATGCCACATCTGTACTGGACCACATCTCCACGACTACACACAGTGTCACCACCCAGAAACAGATCATCATGCACCCCAACCAGAAGCCTTGGATGAACCGGGATGTCCGTCTCCTCCTAATACCGCCTTCAGGTCAGGGGATGCACAGTCCTACAGTACAGCCAGAGCTAAGCTGAAGAGGTACATCAAAAATGCCAATCATCAATCTCCAACAAACCCCGCCATATGTGGCAAGGACTCCAGATCATCACAGACAACAGGACCATCAAATCCACCCCTGCATCCCCTGATGTCTCCTTCCTCAACGAGCTCAACAATTTTTATTCAGGTTTTGAGCAGGGTAACCCAACAACTGTGAGTAAGGCAGTGGTGACTTTAGACCACCAACCACTGACTCTCTCCCCCACTGATGTAGCGGTGCTGAGCGGCTGGTCATAGCACACCCCAAATCCCGTCTCCCCCCCTTCCTGACCAGCCGGATAACCACTATTCATCCATAATCATAATGAACACTGGTGTACCACAAGGCTGTGTGATGAGTCCCTTCCTCTTCTCACTCATGACTGCAGACCTGTCGATTGTTCTAATAACATCATTAGGTTTGCAGATGACACCGTGGTGATTGGCCTCATTAAAGACAGCAACGAGGCCGCCTACATGGAGGAGGTGGTTCGTCTGGCTAAGTGGTGCGACACTGAGAAGACCAAGGAGCTCATTGTGGACTTCAGGAGAAATGCTGACCCACATACTCCCATCCACATCAAGGTAACGGCTGTGGAGCGTGTGAACAGCTTCAAGTTCCTGGGAGTCCTCCGAGGATCTCACCTGGACGATCAGCTGTTCCAAGCTGGTCAAGAAGGCTCACCAGCGCCTCTTCTTTTTGAGGACATCAGACATCCTGGTGAACTTTTACCGCTGTACCATTGAGAGCATCCTGACCAATGGTATAACAGTTTGATTAGGGTAGCTGCTCTGCTTCAGACCGGAAGGCGGTGTAGGTGGTGGTGAAAGCCGCTCAGTGCATCGCCGGAGCACCACTTCCTTCCATAGAGGACATCTACAGGAAGCAGTGTCTGAAAAAGGCAGGGAAAATCATCAAAGTCTGTGTCACCCAGCACACAGACTTTTCACCCTCCTGCCCTCTGGGAGGCGCTACAGAAGCCTCTGAACTAAGACCACCAGGTCCCGGAACACTGATTAAAAGAAAAAAACAGATGTAAAGTACTGACAATTGGCGCATTACGTCATCCAGCGACATGTAGTAACTTGATGAGCAGGCTTTAGCTACTTTCCATTGAAAATAGGGTTAAGCAGTGACTGTTACTGACAAGTTTGCAGATGGTGATGTGGGTGCTGACGGTACCTACAATGCCAACTTCTGTCTCCCAGCATGGCCCCCTGATGACATCAGCTGGTGAGGTCATTGGAGGGGGAATGTTTTCTGTGACATTGTGGTGTAAGGTGTAGTTCTCATAGTATTCTTTAAGAGCCCAGATGGTTTCATTTTTGATCTGTTTCTCGTTTTCAAGCTGTGAACATACAATACCAAAGATATGATTAACATAAAATGTAACAGGTATATGTTTTAAGGACTCTCAGGCAGAATAATATCCCCTTTTTATTATGTTTATGGTTACTAGACCATCTATGGTCATACCTTTGCATTGACTTCATCAAACAGAGCAAACAGAAAAGTGTACAGGTTGCCCAGAAAGAGGGCAAAGATTCTGGCCAGCTGCCACTTTAGGGCAATTCGAGGGTGATAGTCTTCCAGCTCCCCTATAACCTCAAACAGAGGTGGACACACCAAGCCCAACAGGGACATCACCAATTCAACCTGTCCAAAGAAGAAACAGAATTTCACAATTTCCTTTTTTTTTTTTCATGTGCCATCACATTAATAAATTGAAAGGTAAAAGAAAAGGGGTACCTCATTTTTTTCAAGCCATGTCAGTTCATTCCTGTCCTTTTTGGCAAATTCTTGAGATCTTTTGACCACAGTGTAGATGAGAAATCCACTCCCACCCAAGCAGCACAGAATGAGAACGTTGGCTAGGACGCGTAGAAAGCGGCGTAGGTGAATGTTCTCATCCTTCAGGTTTTCCTGCTCATCCACTATAGATTCCTGAGGGTTAATGTGTCATTTGATCAGTCTATGCAGACGTTTTCAAAACACAGTGGACCATTCTTTGATAGTATTGCTGTTATTAACCTTGAAGCTTGTGGTGGTGGACGCAAACTTGTTGTCAGCTGTCTCTGGGTTTCCTATGAGGTAATCCCAGCTAGTAAACAGCTTCCAGCAAAAGGTGAAGGCACTATCCTCTGCTCCATCTCCTCCTTCATTGGCATTTCTTGCCATTCTAGAAGAAGGGAGGCCATTAAAAAAAGAAAGAAAGAGGCTCCACATTATCAGCAACAAGATCATTGTCAGTGAGCAAAACCCTATACAGAGTGACACGGTCAATAGACTCACGTTCTGATAACCACCATTAGACTGTAGCCAAATATCCCAACACCAACCAAAAGATATGAAAGAGGTAACCGGAACTGGAGGAATCCAATACTTCGTTGATTATTGTAGTAACCATAAAATAGAACAGAGTACTTGCAATAACCCTGTGAAAAAATGAAAAAAGGTATAATCCAAATAAGACGATAGCAATCTCACTTTTACACTGAATTCAATAGTGAAAAATTCTTACGCCAAACTCAAACAGGACAGAGTAATCCATGGCAGTATCCTGTTCTTCCCTGGGGACAGTTTTTCTGGGAAGGGAGCCGTAAGGCATGCCCATCAGTACCTACGAAGAGAAAGACACAGATCATATTAGTGTCGCTTTTATTTTTATTTCCTCTTTTATGACATGAAGACCAAGTATGATAACCCATTCTTGGAATTTGTCCTCTGCATTTAACCCATCCAATTTAGTGGACACAACCGGAGCAGTAAGTAGTGGAAACACACAACCGGAGCAGTTGGGGAGCCATTGCTGTGGCGCACCAGGGGAATGATTGGAGGTTTGGTGTCTTGCTCAAGGGCATCTAATGCATTTCCTGCTCTATTTGAGAATCAAACCCCCAATCTTTGGGTAACCAGTCTGACCAATCATGGTTTCCACAAAAATATCAAGCAGCACAACATTGATAATAATAGGAAATGTTTCTTGAAAGGCAAATCAGCAGAATGATTTCTGAAGGATCATGTGTCACTGAAGACAAGAGGAATGGCTGCTGAAAACTTAGCTTTGCCATCACAGGAAGAATGACTCATTAAAATATATGAAAATAGAAAATTTCACAATAATGGTAGTGTACACTGCCTAAAGGGTGTTTATACAAAGACATCAGCCTCACATCTCACCTCTGGCATAACAACAAGTCCAAACACAAAGCCGAAGAGAACAAGGTTTAATCCATACATCCAGCGCAGGAAAATGAAGTAGGAGGCAACAGATGACCCAAAGTGACCTATGAGAATAAAACAGATGAGAAGAGAATAAGAAACACACTGAACTCAGAAAATACAGATTTCGATAAAAAACTTAAAAAATACAGAGATTAACAGACTTTCCACTTCTTTTATCCGACTCTCCCAGGGAATGCAGGCTGTCTTGAAGTTCTCAAAGTCTCTATTGAATTTGATTAATTTCTGAGAAACGAACAAACAAAAAATATTGAGTGATTGCATTTGAAATGTAGCATGTCAATATGGAATATTTAATGCTGTACCTTGGTCATCATGACTTTGAATGCATAGAGTCTCTTCCCTTTTCCTTTGCCCAAAGCCCCTTCAAACTTTTCGACAAACTCCTGGGCTTCTCTAACAGGTGATATACGTAGAAACTCGTATTAGCATGGAAATAAAACGTATGACACGATATCTAAACAAACTTTTTGTTTTTGTTTCAGATTTCAACAGGGCATGAGTATTTTTCCCTGTTCCTGTTGGGGTTGTAATATTTGCATGCTGCTATACATGTGTAGAATTATCATTCAGCATTGTGTAGTAAGCACCAGAGACAAATAGGTAAAACAATATCATGTTTCACTCACAACCTTCACGCTCTGTAACTAGAGCCTACAGCCAATTAATTAACTCATCAATGAATAATGCATGTGAATGGTCCAGATGGGGGGTTGTCTATAAAATAAAAGTCAGTGGGGTCCAGTGTGGTTTTAGAACTCTTTGACTTTCATTGTATAGGCAAAAGAAGAAAAGAAGTCATGCAGGTTTGATTTGAAATGACATGAGGGTGAGTAAATTATGAAAGAACTTTCATTTTTGGGTGAACCAACCCTTTAATATTTTCACATGGAAATAGTATGGGGACCAGTGTAATTGTAGTTAACTGAACTAAAACTCAAATCACAAAAAAATATGTTACTTGAAACACAATATTTAAATAATCAAAAAACAACATTTAATTATTTCGCTAATTGCCAAGGACACATTTCTCATTTTATTTAGTTTACTTGATGTTCTAAAATAACTAAAACTGAAATAAAACAAATAAAATGTATACAATTTTTTTTAAATACATTTTATTTGTTTTATTTCAGTTTTAGTTATTTTAGTACATATATATATTAGTGCTGTCAAACGATTAAAATATTTGATTGTGATTAATCGCATTAATTTCATAGTTAACCGCGATTAATCGCACATTTTTAATCGCAATTTAACTATGAAATGAATGAGATTAATCGCGATTAAATATTTTAATCGTTTGACAGCACTAATATATATATATATATATATATATATATATATATAATTAAAACATTGTTTTATTTGTTTTATTTCAGTTTTATTTATTTTAGTACATCAAGTAAACTAAATAAAATGAGAAATCTGTCCTTGGCAATTAGCGAAATAATCAAATGTTTTTTTAAAGGGATACTGATATAGTTTTTATTATATCTATCTATATATATATATATATATATATATATCTTTATAATAAAAACTATAACAGTCTTTCAAATAATCCTCCACATAATATATATTAAGGCTAGCATTACATTGAAAGGGACTCAACGTTAAATCCATCTACAGAGAAAACTGTTTAGCTCTTTAACTACAGCAATTAAACTTCAGTCTAAAATCCAAAAAACCTACAAAGCACGTCATTGTAACCTGTGGCGGGACATATCGACATCCATGTATTGTTTGGGCATGACCATGTGACCTTATGACACTTTGTACATGATATCTCTGAAGAGAATTGTACCCAAACACGCATGCAAAGACTGCCCTCAAGACACATCAGCATGCATTAAACAAACAGCCTCAAGCTCATGAAACTGTAGCATTCCTCTCACCTACCAGACGTTACCCATGTAGAAGCTTTGCCAAGTGAGTGTCCCCTATGTGGCACTGTTTCTTGCCCTACAGCTTCAGGGCCCATGCTATTAATGCGGTCTTGGGCAGTGTCTCAGTCTCTACTAACTTCTGAGGGCACTTGTCCAGACTCTCACTTGTCAACCACACTGGTCAATTCCACTGGGCAGTCTGAGGTAAAGGTTCAGACGGAGGCCACTAGGTAATGAATGCATTGGCATAGTCTCTGTGTCAAGTGTTTTATCTCAAAGCACAATCGAGCGCATTTTGGATGACGGCGATTCTGAAAAGCCCCATATCATACTTCCATGCTTCCTAAAAATAGTTTTTAAAAGCCTGTACGAATGTGTAGCAAAAAGGGCTCCTTTAAACATCAGCTTAAAGTGCATTAAGAGAGAAGATGCAAGAAAGCAGACGCACAGCAACTTGTACGCTTTAATGAATCACATAAACAAACATGAAACTCATGCTAAATAAATTAACTTCATTTGAGTAAGAGGTGACTGAAACAAGAGCTTAAACAATGAGTAGGAGGAAATCCGTTTTACTTCAGGCATTTGAGTCTCCTCTTCATGCGCCAGGGTTTGTTCCGAAGTGTCGCTATCAGCTTTTTCTTTTCCTCCACTTCCTCTTTTAGTCGGGTCATCTCTCCCTCAGACAGAGACTCGTCTTCTGAATTGTCATCTGATGATGAAACGCTGCAGAACAAAGCCGAGACCCAAGAGTCAACGGTCAGTCCTTTAAGTCCCGTTTAACAGTATATTCCACAAGGATACAGTTGTTTTGGTCAAGTCAAGTCAAAAGTTCTAGTGGGCAGGATGGCCATGAAAAGCACTTCCAGATCATCAGTTGGAAGGCAAAAGAAAAAGAAAAAAGAATGAAATGTCCAACTGAAACCAAAAAATGATGTCTTGCTCTATAACACTTTTTCCAAGTCATTTCAATGGCAAAATGTGTCCCAATCGCCCTGAATTGACCCTATAGGTTTAGTGAATGATTGAATCTTTAAATAAATAAAAGTTGCTCAGATATTGTAGCTCCTTGGCTGCATTTTACCAAAAAATGCTGTAATATGTATAGTTGAGAACAATCAAAAGTTATTTTATGGCAATAGATGTCTATGGCAGTGGCGGTACTGAGGAGTGAACGGCACCATGTGGGTGTGTGTGTGTGTGTGGCGTGGAGAGGGAGGCTAGAGAATACTGCACCTGCTGTTTTTGCCTTTGTTCTTTTTCTTATCCTTATCTTCCTGTTTGTCCTTCCCTCCTTTCTCTCCTGCTTTGCCATTCCCCTTCTTCTCCTTGACATTCTCCACCTCTTTGTCCTTCTTAGTTGTGCCTTTTTTCCTTCCTTTTCTTTTATCTCCTTTCTCCTCTTCGCTCTCCTCTTCTGAGTCATCTTTCTTGGCAGCCCTCTTCTTCGCACCTCCTGCTCTCCTTCTTCTTCCCTTCTTCTCTTCCTCGCTCTCGTCTTCACTTACTTCCTTCTTCTTTCGGCCTTTCCTCTTCCGTGGAGTCTCCTCCTCTTCTTCATTGCTCTCCTCCACGCTATCAGCGGGCTTGGCTTTCCTTCCTCGAGCAGCAGGTTTCGGTTTATTCCTGCTGTTTGCTCGTCTTTTTGAATCGACTGAAAAGATAGAGAAAGTGAGTGTGTGTTTATATACGAAGAGTTCAGATGCAAAAGCCTCTAAATGCCATTTGAAATTTTCTTCTTTAATGATGATTTTTATCAAACTTGTATATTTAAGTTCAGTAATTTCACTTCAGTAATTTCACTGGCAATGATAATTACCTATTAATTGTTATTTAAGTGAAATTACTGAACTTAAATATACAAGTTTGATAAAAATCATCATTCAAGAAGAAAATTTCAAATGGCATTTAGAGGCTTTTGCATATGAACTCTTCATATATATATATATATATATATCATAATATCATAATATATTTGAAAAAAATACATTTTACACTGCATGGCATGCACATTCAAAATACTAATTAAAAATAATACAACAATATCGAAAGTAAAATTAAAATAAATAATAATGATAAACAATAATCAATAATTTATAATTCAACCATCTTACCGTCACTTCCACTATCATATTCTGCATCGATTTCCATCCCAACTGTAACACACACACACTGCATTAATATCATGAATTACTTTCACTTTGAAAATACTGTCACAATAACTCAATAACACAACTATTTAACGTCCTGTCAGATAAGTGTACTTAATATAATAACATGATATATTGTGTTAATCATTAAAACATTTAGCAAATTAGGTAAACCTGCTAAATAAGGGTCATCATTTAAAAAAGTCCCTAACACAACCACACAACACATGCCAGTTGTAAAATCATCTACTGCACTATATCAGAACAGTAAATAAAAGAAGTTACAAATAGTCACCCAACCTATACGTATCTAGATGTATGCGTTTGAAACAAACAGTCTGCACTGAATCAAATTGAATCAACATGCATTAGAATGATCCTCTTCTGATAATCAAATCTACTTACCATCATCCACGGTTATCGCAATATCATTTTTTCTGCGAGGCATCTTGCCGGTTTGAGTTAAAGTCCTGCTATTCAATCTAGCGAGGCATCTAGAGCTGAAGACACACCTGACTGTCAGGTGGGTCTCTGTTAACAGGCTCTCCACTCCTAAAAAAAGGAATCAAATGTCTCCTTGACTACAGATAATGGTAGTCAAGATCTAAAGCCGTGAGAGCCAGCAAACAAAACGCCAGTGTACAGGGCAGATTCAAGATTCAAATATTCAGTGAATAATCCCGGTGTCCCTCATGATACCTCAACACAAACAAGTTGGCTAAATAAAGTATGGCAAGTATACCCGAGTTTCATGATTAACACCTGAAATAATTTTTCTAGAATTAAAAGAAGAAAATTATAACAGATAGTAAGTTCTGATTAAATTATTCTTCTTCACGACAAATGTATCATTCTTCATGTTATTGAATGAAAAAAGTTCAACCACGCCACACTTTTTTTCCTGGTTCCATTTCAGGACAAGAGATACTGAAGTATAGTTTAACCATGTTTGTCTTAGTTCTTAATGTGTGTAAATGATGAGGCATTGTGTGTCAACAGGAAGTTCTAAGCATTAATTGATTTGAGTTAATTATATACAAGAGGTCTACTACTATAACATCTGGTAACAGAGCTACATTCACACAGATCAGATATCCAGCATATAAAAGTGGTTTCTCTGTAGTGACCGGCGCTGACCGCAAGGAAGGTTCGCAATAAATGCAAAAACACTGTGGAAAATCTAAACTCATTATATTTTGTGGTTTTTGAGTTGTATTTACTTCCAAAAGTTGAGATAAACAATTCCAATACATTGGACAACTCAATTGGATAAACACAGTAAAAAATATTGACACTAAAGTTTAATTTAGGATTCAATTAATAATTTAATGAATTAATTATTCTTATTTATGCTATTCTTGATTTCTTACTAAAATAATATCAAATGAGCTGTATTTTCAATTAACAATGACCTAAATGAACAAATAAACAAAATCTCAAATGACTCGAGTTAATACTTAATGACGACTGCCCATGAATTATAAATGACCATTTGCATTGTTAATGAAACTTATGTGCCAAATTTCTTATACATAATCGTCAAGATTTGATCCAGGGATATCCTAAGGTTCTAAGGATTGTAAGAACTCTTCAAAACAGGTGCTCTTTATATATTTTTAATATTCTTTAAGAGTGTCTTTTTAGCATCCTCTAGTAGGTTTGTAACCAGCTCCCCTCACTTAAATGGTACACTGTACACAGCATAACCCCAAACAGAGCAGCATGGGCCGTGGAATGACAAGTGAGTCGCATGCATCTTCGCTGCCAAATCTGTGGCTGTTGGAAAATAATCCAGGACATTAGACACCCCTAGAGCTGAGAGCAGATTTAAGAATACAGTACTGCGCATGGAAATGTTGTGGGTCACCTGACACGCTGATCAAGATAAAGCTGCATGGATTTGAGAATAGGGAAACAATGAAATGGAGACCAAAGGCATAATGGTGGGCAAAGCCAAGCCGTCAATCGGTTCAAAAATGATTTAGCTACCAGATCTATGGTGGTTAAGCGCTAGTGTCTTGACGAATAATTCTACTTATAAGATTGTGCTACCACCAACACTGTGTTTGCATTGTTTTAAGGGTAGGTTTAAGGTTTGGGGTAGGTAAGCCTCAAACCATGTCACACCACGTAAATATAACGCTGATAGTCACAGGAAACATTTTGTGGTCTTTTTGAACGCAAACGGTTTGAATGGAACCAGTGGTCAGGTTTCCTCAAATCCAGCATGGAGGGCCACTGTCCTGTAGAGTTTAGCTCAAACCATGATCAAACTTACCTGCAATTTTCCAGTAACTTTGTTGACTAGCTTTGTCAGGTGTATTTGATTAGTTTTGGAACTAAACTCTGCAGGGAAGTGGCCCTCCAGGACCAGATTTGAGAAACACCTGGCATGCCATGCAGATGCTGCAAAAGACACAAACACAACGGTTAAGCACATTGTCCGTCTATCGCTTTTACATTGAAAATCAATGGAAAAGTAGCACAGTGAAACGGAAAAACACGTTTTGTGTAAACGGCCCATAAGGATGCATTTTGGGATTCTTACGGTGCTGACAGTTAAGGGTGATATATACTACTACGTTGGACCTACGCTGGAGCCTCTAAGCTGTAAGCTACGTGTTGGTTTTCATTTATACTTTGTCCGCATTGACGTGCAATTACACATGCAGAGGGAGCATGGGGGTTCTAGCAGACCCATCACAGCATTTGCGGTCCACGTAGATTTGATGCATTGTTACATTTTTGAGAGGACCACACGTCAGGGTACGTGACGTCATGCTATGGCGCGAGTTCGACGCAGAAGAATAAATTGGGTTTTACACTGGCCCGCAACAAAGCAATTTGTCACTTAAAAATGAATGAAATCTGCAAACAAATAATCCTAACCCTTTTTTTTAACTTTTAACAAGCTGCCTGTTAAAAAAAGTGTCTTTTGTATCTGTGGTTTTATGTGATTCTTTCAAATTTGTATTCTTTTTGTATTTTTTAAAAATGTATTCTTGCTATCATACATGTCACTTGGCTTAAAATGTTGTTTTATAAATTTTTAAGTGTAGCGTAAATGTCCAATCACTTTCCACTGTAAATAAGACACGTGTTCCACCTCTGTGTAGCTCTTAGAATAACATATTCGTCACACAAATATTTGCTTTATCAGCTGCCTTTTAATAATTAGTTGTAATTGGCATGTAAACTAAAAATCAAGGATTTTTTCTAAAACTAAAAATATATATAAAACATGAGTCAAAACATGAAACAAATCAAGGGATGAAGAATTCTAGCCCAGTTTGGCCAGCGTGTAACAAGAGCAGTCATTTCTCTTTCACAGAGACAAGACGTATCAATCTAGAGTTACATAGTCACCTTGAGCAATGCATAACAGACATGCATGACATGTGCGGCAGGCCTGGGCACAGTATTTGTACTAACAATATCAGCAAAAAAACATAAAATAAGTGTCATATAAGTGCCAAATGTTGTGTATTGCAACATAGAGATTCACATCTATTTACATCTGTGCTGTTTATCTTTTGTTTGAGTGAGAGTTTTTCTGTGACTGATGTGGGTGACCTGGAAGATGTCCAGATGATGTGTGGCCCCGGGATGCAGGGGTTCTGGTAGTTGTGTGGGTCGCGGTGACGGGAGGTCCAGAGTTTTGAGTATGCTGACTCTGTGATGGGTGTATAAAGCGACCGTTCTGCCCAGCTTGTCTGTGATGCCCTGCTTCATCTAGGCTGCTGCTTTCTTCATTCACTGCTGAGAAAGAGGAGGCAGAGAGACCTTTCAACTGCTGTCTCAGAACAACACTGTTATACAGAAACAAGGGCATGTTGTTTTAAGACTGTGGCCACCTGTTGCCCAAACACACCACATTAATGGAAAGTTTCCCTACACTGGTTCCAAGATGCTGTCTAGTGCACTGACTGATGGGAGCTGTGACCCGTTCAGTGTGCTCTCACCCAAATCGGAGGCGCTGTTGCTGCGCTGTTGCTCCAGTTCATTGGCTGTCTTTAAGGCTGCAAGTTTGTTCTTTTTCTTGTTTTCCTCATTTTGCTGTAAATGCAAAATTGGAGAATTCAGTGACATGACAATAAATGACAAGTAACAGTAATGACTAGATCTATGTAAATTGAAATAATATATTTAGGTCTATGCGAACTAATAATAACAATAACAATGCTTAGTCATTTTACTAATGATTAAATCTTTTATTTTGTTATTATTTATGTCAATTCAATGTTAGTGCTTCCACCTAGAGGTAAAATCACATAATATCATCTGCTCATTTACAAGGTTAGTAGGAATTTTCATTTTTGGGTGAACGATTCCTTTAACTGACATTTACTGTATTTGAACAGACATTTGGTCTTCCCAACTTACTGTTTGAAGTTTCTTTTTCAGCTCCATGTTTACCCTTTTGTATGTTTTAGAAGTGGACTGCAGATAATATATTGCAAGGCTAAAATAACAGAAAAAACACACATCTTTGCATGAGTACAGGGGAAAACATATGGATGGATTTAGACATTCCCACTTACACCAAGAGCAGAAGAAAGGGCAGCACCAGTCCAGGGTTCGAGGCGTAGCTGAACACTTTACTGAACCAGTCAGGGAAGTCTGTCTCCAGGGTCTCCTGAATCACGTCAAACATGCGGTTTTTCCCACTGCAGAAAAATCTATAATTAAGTGGGCTAACAAACGAATAAGTAGATGGATTCAGCCTCGTCGAATATTTTAATCATTTTATAAACTTGTATGTTTATTTTTATCTTTTAATTTGAGTTTATTTATGTCGACTTCATGAAAACTCTTTATGTACCCTAATGGTAAAAGGAGGATGTGAGAAAATTGCAGACATGGCTTGCGCTCTGCTGCCCTCTAGTGTTAACGATTTGACTTGTTGGCTTTTAAATTTTAATTTTTAAATAAATATGTTATACATACAGATATAACTAAGAGCCCATTACTCTAAAGTCTAATAATTTGTATTTATTATTAATTTAAGCTTTCACCACACTGACCAATTTCTGAAACACTATTACTCAGTTCTTATGATAAACATGACCTTCTCCATAATCCCCACCATTTCTGATCATACACTAAAATTTCCAACCTGAAGGGTCCACAGTCGAAGGAGGGGGGAATGGTTACAATGGTGTATATAGCAGGCAATGTAGAAAGGAAAAGGATGACCAACAGCATGGCCATGTAGAAGTTATTGGAGCCTGAAGCTTTGAAGACCCGTTCCTGAGGCACATTACAGCACATCACCGCCCAACACTGCAGGTACATGGACACGTGAAGCCGTAGAAGATTTAATGCTGGAAGACATGGAGCGTAGAACGCCCCCATCCTGGTACACACACAAACAAATATTTGGTGAGATTTAGAGGTATACTGGTTGGTTTCATTCGGAAAGAAAGAAAACATCCTACATAATATGGTGATATTTCTTACCAGATCATTCCCTGGTTGAAGATCAGCCCCAGAACATTCCCACTGACGTCAAACTCTGAATAGGACGGCTAATAAAGAAAGCACGCTTTAGTTATAAATAAGAGGGATTCCCTGACACATGATCTGCTTGTGTTGTAGATACTCACAAAGCCAAACTCCAAATCCCAGCACCAGCAGTTGTTTAGGAATCGCACCAGTACGGCACGGAAGAAATCCCCGATAAGCAGAGTGATGTAAGTCGTCATTGTGTCAGAAATGATGAGACGAACAAACTCCTGTGGACGTAGATGTAAAGCATTACATAGGATAGGATTTGTTCAAAAATACACTCAATATTTGTAACTTTATGCAGACTAGAAAATAAAATTAATGCCAAAGCATTTGTACTTGCTTTTCCATTTAGCAAACTGTATTTCGTCTGAAAAAAGTTTATATTTTTCAACAATTTTAATGAAATGCTTAAATTTACATATATCATACTTACAGTATACACTACCAGTTTTTTAATGTTTATGAAAAAATCGCTTATGCTCACCAAGACAATTCAATTAAAAACAGCATGTTGAAATATTATAATTTTAAAAAAAATATATATTTTTAAATATATTTGAACCCTTTCCCCACCAGCGTTTTTGAAAATAAGTTGCCAGCCAGCACCAGCATCTTTGATAATTTTCACAAAAGTTTCACGGCCCCCAGAATACTTTAACATGACCTCCGCTTTTAAACAACAACAAAAAAACTTTTATTCTAGCTTCATGAATTCTTTTTTTTTTTATCAACACTTGAATGTGATTAATTGTAATCAACACATTTGATCAATTCAATGTGTCATTGCCGAATAAAAGGATTAATTAATTAATTAATTAATTAATTAAAAAAATTAATTGACCCCAAACTTTTGAACTGTAGTTTAATTTAATGTAAATATGTCAAATAATTGAAATGTGTAAATCTTTAAATCTTAAATTGTATAAGTTTTTAATAACCACCTCACCAGTGTCTTTAATTGACTAATTTAAGACTGGTGTACATTTTCAATGTTAAAATACTTCGCCTTCCAACATTTTAATGTGCAATGAAGATTAATTAACAGGGAAAAAAAGTGTAAACACTGTTGGTCTGTAGCATTGAGCAGCCCTAAATAGCAGAATAACCTCAACAAATGCCGTGATTTTTGGTCCGAAATGGGACTGCTTGTCCAAAAAATTCAAGATGGGGTAGTGTTTAGGACGTTTTTGCAAGTGTTTACTACATTTTTCTCCACTCAACGTTGGGTTAGGAGTTATGCTGCTTTGGAACGTACTGTGTCGCTGTTGTGCTGGAATTTGGATTATGAAAAGAGCTTTAAGCACTCTTCCCCAGTACCTGTCCCACCATTGTCTCCCAGCAAGGCCCTCTTGGAACATCAGCAGGGTGCGCTGTGATCGGAGGAGCAGTCGAGTTCTCTGGCGTAGTCCCGTTGTACAGGTTAGCCTGCCATATTGTCATATTCTTCTTCACAATCTCCTCTTCTGCCCTCTTGAAAATATGTGAGAGTTAGGAAGATTACCTTCATAAGAAGATGATTTAGCACAGATTCTGTGGCAGAATGATGGAAATCATTAACACAAATACTGAAAATGGGACTGCGAGGGCTTTAGTCTTTGTTAAATGAAGCTCTACCTTTAGTTGGATGGCATCCATGAGAGCGATAATGAATGTGTAGAGGTTCCCCAGGAAAAGGGCGAATATGCGTCCCAGCTGCCACTGGAGGGCGATGCGTGGATGATAGTTCTCTAAAGTGCTGATTACATCAAACAGCATCGGACAGAACATTCCCAAAAGAGACATCACCATGTTCACCTGAAGGTACAACCGTGCTAAATTCATTTTTATTGATGAACAAGAGGATTGCCATTGTTCATTGTTAGTTGTTACATGTGCCTGACCTCATTCCTCTCCCACCAGCCATATTTCTCCAGTCCCTCCAGAGCGAACTTCTGAGACCTGCGTACAACAAAGTAGATCAAGTACCCACTCCCTGCCAGACAGCAGAGCACCAGGAAGTTGGCCAGCACTCTAAGGAATCTTGTCAGGTGGATGTTGTCATCTTTTCTGCTCTCTTGCTCCTCCACAATGGTCTCCTGTTAAAGTGCTGAATTTATTATGAAGCCAAGA